AGAAATATTGTTGTTCTTAAAGGTCACATGTTTGTGCATCAGCAAATGCAGTACGGTAGGGTGATTAGGAGTTCATTGTTAAATGAATGAGAGTATTTAAAATAAATATTATTTTGTAATTACTTTAGCTTAATAAAAAATCAAATATAAAATAATAAAATAAGAATTTTAGTTTAATTATTAATTCATTAATTTAAAATTTTAAAAATATTAAATATTAATATCTGATTAGTTTAATTTTAAAATTGATATTGGACTAAAATTTATTTAAATTAAAAATAAAATTTATTTTCCTTAATTTTAAAATTAAAAGAACCTGAAAAATAATTAAAATATAAAAGATTAAAGAATCAAGATTAATTTAGTTGATTTTAAAATTAAGAAAATTAAAAACGTAATTTGAAAAAAAAAAGGTTATTAAGACCCTTCATGCACTTTGTTTGGTCGACACTGAAAATGATATCCATTAAAGTGATAAAATATTAAATATAATTAATACATTAATTTTAAATTGAAAGAAAGAGGTTATTCAAATTTGAACATAACATCGAGTGCAAATTATTGAAGATTTAATAATACTACAAACCTTTTAGTACTATGTGGATAAATTGTTGATTAAACAGTGAAAAAAAAATGAAAGATAACAGTGAATTGGAAAACTCTCATGTAATCCCATCGATTCAGATGATCGTGTCATTATAATATTTATTATGAATGGGGAAAATATTCTAACATATATATCATGTCAGGTATATAATTAATATCTTAATTAATTAAGATAATTCATTTTTTACTCGTATTAAAACCTTCTTCTTTGTTTAATTCGACCATAAATAATTATTATTATTTTCCATCAGAATATTTTGTTTTTAAGTTTGAAATAATATTACCGCATTTATTATAATTGATGATCATAGGGTGTGAAGAGAGTACTGAAGCCGAAGAATAAGTGCAGCGTTTATCTGTGGGGAAAACGAAACGGGGACCTCCATTTGTCTCCAAGGAAAGAAGAAACTGATGAGACATTAATGCATATTGGACATTCACCGGTATAGATTAACTACTGCAGATATATTGGTGCATTTATTTTTTTATCCATATGTAGTTATATGTTGGATTGCGATCCCTATATGCATGCATAAGATAATCTATGCTTTTCGTTTTCATACATACATGCATGCGTTTATATGAATAGAGCAGGGTACCTGCGTTGCTGCGCATGAAGAGATGTTTTCAGTCACCGTTGGGTTGGTGCCTGGTGGTGCATTTTAATTATGTTTGCCTAACACAGAAACATATACGGTCCTTTGCTTATTTTCCATTCAGGTCATTCAACTTTGATATTTATCATCTTAACCGTGACATTGCCATTTCACTTTCCAGGGCTTGGACTTTTATAACTAAGAGAAAGAAAATCCGTTCTAACAAAGGAATCATTTGATATTTACTTTAGTACGTGCGTATAGCCCTTAATTTCTAATCCACGTACAGGAGACGAAGACAAGATTTTATATTAAAAGACTGATTTTTAAATTTTTAAAGAACAATGAATTTATAAAAATTCTAAGAGTTTAAAATAGATTATAAAAAATGCAAAAAAATATATAAAATAATAAATATAGTTAACCTTATGAATTTTTATGATAAATTATAATCTAATAACAACTTTAAGTTTCAATCTTAATGAGACCACCTATGATATTTAATTGTATTCCTATTCTAATTCTAAATCAATAATTCAAATCTCATCAAGTCGTCTCAATGGTTAAACAAGGTGTTGAATCCTGAGTTCAAACAATTGTGTCTATAGAATATATGTGTTGTCAATATTTAATCATCCCAAACTAATAAAAAATCAACAATTTCAATAGTCGAGATGAGGATTTTATTGTGGGTCTTAAGAGGAGTTTAGTGTTCAGATGTTGTTGTCGCATGAGTGTGAAAAGATGAGACTTAGTGGGATTCGTAGCCTTTGATGTAATTTGGTTTTGGTTCGTTAGATGCTATGGTAAGCGAATTTGAAGCGGGTGGTCTATAGGGAATTGTAAATCACGTTTCTTTTTCTGTTACTGGCTTGGTTATTTTGGGTGTATTGGTTTAAGGAGTCACCGCAATCACGGTTGGTTTGCTGTTATGTTGGGAGAGTGTATGGCAAAGAGTGGTGCTGCTAGTATCATGTTAGACGAGTTATGGAGATCGGAAGATACGACATAGTTTTACTCAGACGACAATCTGATGAATGTTGGTGTAGTTCGGGATAGATAAACTCGAGAGTTGGGGATTGATTTTTGGTAGATCCTTTTGAGAAATCTAATTCGAAGAAGTGAAAGGGGACGACAATAGGAAGCAATTCTTTGGTTGGCTATTGAAGTTCTGCTGGTTGTTAATAGGTTAGTTTTATCTTCGTTACTCTGCTGGTTTTGTTCTTATTGTTAGGTGTGTCAGTTATTACGAGTGTTTTTAGAGAGTTTTTTAATTACATTTGTGTTTGTTCTTTCCTGCCTGTTTGTCATATTTGGGTTTGGAATGGTTCCGAGGGTGTTGATGCTGTTTGAAAGAAGTTTGGGCTGTGTGGGAGCTTTGTTTGACTCATTGGGAAGGGATCTTAACTAAGAATATGTTGGATAGAGAAAAGGCATTGTTGGACGTCCTAAAAGAACGAACTCATGACATGGTTTTGAAGCGTGTTGTCCCGGACAGGTTAGTATGTTCAATTGATTAAGCAGGCCATTGTTTCATCAAGTTTAACCTGCAGAAACATTCCTAGGTGTGATGATTGGAGTATTTGGTATTTGAATTAATTTAAGAGGGTGTTTGGTTCAAAGATTGTGGAATTCCTATGGGATGGGAATCCCACATTCCCATGTTTGGTTGGCCGGGAATCTCATTCCCGGTAATGTTTTATTACCAATAGTAGATTGTTTTGGGTATATTACCGGGAATGTCATTACCTCCATTCTCTTAGGTATTGTAACATTACTGGCGTTTTGGACTAAAATGCCCTTAAATTTTTATTTTTTTTCAAAAATATCCTTCTTCTGTCATTGAATAATAAAAATTCTACGAAAGTTAAATTATAAATTTATCCTTAAATTATTTTAGATTTACAAAAAAAAAATCTATAATTAAAATTTTATATTTAAAAAAAATTTACCCTTTCATTAAACCTTTTTTATATTTTAAATTTTGTAAAAAAATTATATAAATATTATGAATTTAATTTTTAAAGAAAATATATAAATATTTTACAATTTGTAATATTATAAAAATATATAATAAGGACAATTTGGTCAAATATACATTCCAATAATCTTTTATTCCTTTAACCAAACACGGTAATCTTACATTCCTGCTAAACCAACCAAACACAAAATATAACATTCTCAGTAATCCTATTCCCTGGTAATCTTTTATTCCCACTGGTAATCTTACATTCCGTGAACCAAACGCACCCTAAGGGTGTGCAATGTAAGGGTGGGCAGTTTGGTTCATATTTGGAATTGTATGAATGGATCAATTGTTTGTTTAGTTGTTTTCGTTTTGTTAACTTTGGTTTTGTACCTTTTACCTAGTTTTGAGTACTCTTTTCCTTCAACTAGGTTAGGGGGGTTTTTAACGAGGCTCTTAACTAAAGTTTGATGAATTATTAATAAAATTAAATTTGCTGAGCAAAAAAAAATGTGGAGTACCCACGATACTTTTTCTTGATTTTATATTTATAGTAATAAGGAGTGAATATTTTATAGAATTTTAATCTTAAGAAACATAAGAATTCTACTAATAAAGTACATTAGAGTCCTATTTATTACTTAGATGTCCATGGAAATCGTTAGATGTCCATTGAAAATAACATACTTTGTTAAAATATTATTAACATAAAAAAATTATGTGCAAAAAAACTCTTGGTGAAAGGAAATACCACACATATCTTTAATACGCACAAAAAATGAAATACAATAAAACTTTGATTAAGGAAAAAGAGTACAACATGTATTAAGTACACCTCATAACAACATCACATAAGATCTTTGATTTTTTTAAAATTTAATCTTAAACGTAACATTCAAATGTTGAAGTAGACAGTGCAATAGGGAATAAATCTTTCAAATTAGTAATTGAACGGTTTCGCTGGATACTTGTATAAGTATTCTTCTGAAGATGAAGTGAGAGGAAATTTTTTAAATATATTATAAAGAATGATGTTGAATATATCATAGACTATGTAATGAGATATAATATATTAATATAAGACTTTTTGTTTCTAGTCAATAAGAATAATATGTTTGATCACTTGATATAGTAAGATTAAAAATAAATGATTACACTCAGTTGATATTTCGTACCTGATTAATTCAAATCGATATGCATAGTTAGAGCTATAAAGGAGTCGAGTCGAGCTCGAGTAGTGCTGAGCTCGACCCGACTCAAAAATTTTCAAACTTAAAATTGTGAAGCTCGAGTCGAACTCGAAATAAAAAAATTGAAGCTTGACTTGAATTCAAACCCGAACTTTAAGTATTTGAGAGCCTTATATTGTATTTTTTTAACAAAATAATATATAGATGATAATATTATTATTAATTTAATTTCAAAAATCTAAAAATTTAATACATTATTTTTTTTGAGTAGCTCGTGAGCTTTTCGAGTCGATTATCAAGTAGCTCTTTTTGGCTCGTTAAAAATTCTAGTTGAGTTCAAGCTCGAGTCGAGTCCATTCGATTCAAGTGTTGACCGAACTTTGACTGAGTCTGTCTTGAGTAACCCGCGATCTATCTGTCTCATTTGTAGCCCTACGCTTCGAGCAATACTTTTCTATATATACAAATACTCGAACTCGAGACTTGTTTAAATAATATCAAACTTCTTATCACTTAAATTTACACATTGGTCGTACTTGTTTATTTATGCATAACCATAAACAATAATCACATTTGTCAAATATGAAAGTAAAACGAAGAAGCAATGGAAAATTTGAAAAGAAAAAGAAAACGTAGAAACAATGGAAAAGATGTTGGCATCAAGTTTTTCTTCTTCTTTAAAGTGGTAATCTGATTTGTGATAATCAACATGGTTATAAATAATGTTGGTATTAAGTCGTTAACCAGTAACAAACCGACGCCAATACCAGTGCTTCTCCCAAACAGAATTCATGCAGTCGAGAGGAATGCCTTTGGTTTCGGGCAAGAAGAGGACAACGAAAATGGTCATCAAGGCGTTCCACGCGGCGTAGAACAAGAAGGTCCCATATTTGAAGTGGCAAAGCATGGTCAAGAAGGTTTGGGAAAGCACAAAGGTGGTGGCGAAGTTGACAGCGACGCTGATGCTTTGACCCGTGGGTCGAATTTTGATTGGGAATATTTCACTTGGAACCAGCCAACTGAGAGGACCCCAAGACCAACCGAATCCAGCTGCGTACATGCACATTAGAACCAGTACCAGTATGGCGTATCCCTTGCTGATTTCCTTTGTGCCCGAAACACCCGTTGTAACTGCTAGCACCACTGCCACCCCAACCTTCACAAAATTCCCCCAACCAAGATAAATTTAGCGATTAATTTCATGAATAGTCTTCTTGCTGGAAAAAAAAAAATCAAAATCTGATGCATACCTGAGAGACAAACATTTGGATTCCACCTTCCATGAACAAAAACTTCCGACCAAACTGATCGACTACACCGGCTGAAACTACAATTGATGCAAGATTAACTGAGCCCAATATGATAGCCGCTATCAAAGCTGAATCATTTCCAAAACCAACTGATTGGAATAGAACCGGTGCATAGAATGCAATGATGTTAATCCCTGTAAGTTGTTGGAAAAATGGTATGGCAATTGACATAACCAGGTGAGGCCTATATTGCCTCTCAAATATTGTCACAAATGGTTCTTGATTAGCCTCTTTGGCTATGCCACTGGCCATTTTAAGCTCAGCTAGCTCTGGTTCCACATCACAATCTTTCCCTCGGACTTTTCGAAGAGAATGTCGGGCATGTTCCATTTTGCCTCGTTGTATTAGGCTGCTGGGAGTGTCCGAAATGAAAAGTGCGCCCATTGTCATGATGACAGCGGGTACTACGGCCAGACCCAGAGAGAGGCGCCAGCCCCAACTTCGTTTAGCAGTGACGAAGTTTATGCAGTTGGCTGCCAACACCCCTATGCCTATGAAGAATTGGAAGCCTGTGTTGAATGCTCCTCTCCATTTTGGTGGTGCCACTTCCGACAGGTATACAGGAGTTGCCTTTATTGGGGATTTACAATAAACTTTGATGTAAATACTTCGCAGATTAGGAGCAAATTAATCACTTCGAGTATTTATTATGCTTTTTAAAATATAATTATAATTACAAAAATTCATTTATGCTGACTACAATTAGATTAAAAACCAAAACATATTCTGATATAGATCGTAATAGTTCATTTATATGATTATTACTATATTTTATTATATTAGTTGTTACTTGTTAGAGTTGTGATCCAATTTCTTTTTGGATTAGACCATGAAGCTATAATCATAACAGTGATAAAAGTATGAGGCCTACAAAACAGGCGAGCACACATGACAGGGGTGCGCGAGCCGTAGGTCCATTTATATGATTCTTTCTATGCAAATTTTCTTTGTTTCCTATATGGGTTTTGAGATGTTATGTGACTTGTAACAATTGTACCAAATCTTATACTCCTTTAATATAGTATATCTTTAAAGATAACTCTCAATCACCTAATATTGAACACTTATATCTTGACATTCATAATACTCGAACTCGAAATTTTAAGAAATAACAACACCTAATATTAAACATTTATATCTTAACATTCATGATACTCGAACTCGAAATTTTAAGGAATGACAACAACCCCTCTACTATAGAGGTTGCTTGGTTTAAACTATGTACTACATCCTTAAAGAAGAATTTAATAATTTTTAACTTGGTTGATGTCTAATTAATCGAATATACCAAATTTAGTTAGATTTTTTTTAGTTTAAGGTGATTATAAGTGATTGTATTTGTTTTAATTTTATTAAAAAAATTAAAAATCTAGGGTAAATACATTATAATATCTATTCAAAGATTTGAAATCAATTTAATTAAAATTTTAAATATAATAAAAAATATTAAAAACTACTCATATAAGGTTCGTGTTCATCATAATTTATATATAAAGCATTTACCAATAAACTTATCATCATTATTAAATCAGTTTATGAATATAAAAAGGTGAAAAGAACATTAAAGATATTTTTAAATTTAAAAATATTATATGTAGGTTATTAATTATAAAAGGAGTTGGTGTTCAAATTACTTGTCTAGCAAATTCAATCAAAATTGATTCAGAATTTTAATTGTCAAAAACATTAGTAACGCATTTACTGCAGAACAAGTGCTCAATCAAATTTTTTTAGTAAGTTAAGGTGATTACAAGGTAGTATATATATTTTAAATACTTTTAATTATTTGAAAATTAACGGTTAATCACCCTTCTATGGTCGTTGGTGCTCGAACCTCTGACATCTAAGAACAACAATGATTCTTTTAACCACTGAGATAAGTTGATTCGTACAAGTACTTCATCAAATTTAATTCACAATTTTAATTAGGCTTGATATAAAACTAAGTGTCTAAACTATATTCTAAGTTAATTTTATATGTCTAAGTTTTTTTTTTGTTAAAAGTGTGTATTTAATGTTTTCTCCGTTATACTTTTAAGTATCATGTCGTAATGACTTTAAAAAATCCATTAAGTGACATATGTCATGTTTATATATTTTTAAAAAATTTATTTTTTCAAAAAAATTAAAAATATTACTAAATAAAATAAAATCAAAATTTACTAAATAAAAAAAACTCTAAAATCTTTTATTTCAACCATATCACCAATTGTCATCAGCTATCACCAGCAGAGGCAGAACACAGTAAGGACATGCAAGGAACATGACCGCCAAAACTTAGAAAATTATAATTTGGGCCTTTAAATTTTTCAAAAATCTAATTTAGACCCACAAAATTTTTAGAAATATATATTATGCTTTTAATTTTTTGAATTTTTGAATTTTTTTAATTAAACCTCTCCTATAATTTTTAAAAATTCTCATTAAACTTCTCAATTTTTCAAAAATATTAGTTAGAGCTCAATTTGTTTTTTTTTTTGAAAAATATAAATTGAATTCTTCAAAAATTTTGAAAAATTTAATTTAAATGTCTAAATTTTGTAAAGTTTTAACTTGCACCCCAAACTCTATCACCAAGTGTCGCCACTGATCACTAGTCACATTCGTCATCATCAAACAATCATCCCTCTCTCGCAGGACCCAAGGAAGGATGCAAGATTTTATGTTAGGGGGACGAACTTGAATTTATAAAATTTCAGGGGGTAAACTTGAACTTATAAAATTCTAGGGGGAGCTAAAATAGATTCTTAATAGAAAATATAAAGAAAAATCTAAAATATATGATAATTTTAAATTTTCAGGAGACAATCCCCACCCGCCCTATCTAACTCCATCCCTGATAAGACCTCCTTTGCTGACCATCTCTCTTAACAATTTTTTTTAGAAAAAACCTAAACGTAGTGTGTGTCACTTAACAATTTTTTTAACGTCGTTACAACATAGACATTTATAAAATATAACAGAAAAAATGTTAGGCACCTACTTTTAACAAAATATTCTTTAAGCAACTAAAGTTAGGATATAGTTTAGGCATTTAATAATTTCTACCTAAGGGTGGAAAATTTTACTCCTAATGAATATTAATCCCGCAACTTGAAATATGAGGTGTCAATTGAGAGTTTTTAACCACTTGCTCTAGAGATTATTGAGTAGGTCTTTTAATTTTTAAAAAACATTACAAATGCATTTACTGCTGTACATGTGCTCAAAGACTTTCACATGTTACTAGTTTTTGGGATGGAAGACTTGCATATTACTCTAATTAGAAATTACAAATGCATTTTAGTTTATGATCAAATTGATATTCATCCTGTATAGATTAGGATCCTGAAATCGTAGAAACATGTGCATTGTTCGCCTTATAAACAAGGAAGAATTAAGCCATACATATAATGCAAATAATGTGCTTGTGCTCTTAGAAAAGGACAGGGAAGAAAATGGAACAGCGAGCTATAGTTACCTGATTGGTGAAACCAACCCCAAAACCAAGCAAGATACGGCCTATGATAAGCATGGCAACATTAGCAGCGCCACCGTTAACAGCAGCACCGGCAAAGAAGGTGAGGCCACCTAACATCATCGTGTTTCGTCGACCAATTTTCGCAGTGAGGCGGCTAGCAGACAGTGATGCAACCAAACCAGCAATATACAAGGAAGAAGTGAAGGATGTTAAAACTTGGCTATCGTACACGCAATACGTGTTGGTTTTAGCCTCTGCTGCTTTCCTTAGAACCGATGGGAAAAATTTCTGAAGAAATGGTTGCATAGTTGTCACACCCCCTTCAAATATTCAGCCAACAATACCAAGGAAGTGTCAGTTTCAGCAGAACATCCATGGTTTCTTTGTTTTCGGGTTCTAACAGATAATGAGAATATGAGATTACATATTCCATTTCTGTTCAGATCAAAAATGCTAATCAACACACTGAAAAACATGTGAATGAATCCATGGATGCAATTTTCTCAATTTAATTTAGTGAAAGATTGAAAACAATTACTCTGTTTTGCAATCATGGAAATGGTTATTTTTAATTCTACTAGAAACTGTCTCATTCGATTTGTTCCTTCCTTAGTACCAGAAATTATAATAAAGAGTTTGAAGATTAAGGATAAAAAAGGTCATACCTGAAATTCCAATGTCATAGCCAAATATGAGGCCGCTTGAAGCAGCAACGATGCAGGTGATCACCACCGAAAGTGTGATCTTACCACTGAAGCTGCCGACAGGTCCATCGACACCGCCGAAACCTCCGACAACCATTTCTGCTGCTCTTTCTCGGTGTCCAAGAAGGAACTTCTACCGACTACCTTGTGGTGACTGACAGAGAGAAGCGATCAGACCACTACTTTATATAGTGAAAATTAGTGGGTGTTGCTGAGGTTGTAGGAGCTAACAGCCGATTCTGATTCCAATTTGACAATTTATTGTAATAAGAATACATTTTGAATATGGCATACCTACCCGTCTATCTGTCAACGAACATTTACATTTAATCATATAAAAAGAAATTTGGCTAATAAGCAGATATTCAACCAATGGCGGAACGTAGTGGAGACCCTTAAAATTTCAATTTGAAAATTTCAATTTTAGACCCTTAAAACTTTTTAAAAATTAATTTGGCCTCAACAAAACTATGAGAAATCCATATTAAGTTTTAAAATTTTTAAATGATCTTAACTAAATCCTCCTATAATTTTTAAAAAATCTCATTAAGCCTCTCAATTTTTCAAAATTTTAGTCATACCCTAATTTTTTTTGAAAAAAACGTAAACTAAGCTCTTTAAATTTTTAATTTAAACTTTTAATTTTTTTAAGTTTTAAATTAACCTCCCTCAAATTCTATCACCAAGTTCTATCACTATTTTCAACTACATCCATCTTACCTCAATTCTTTTTTGTAGATATGATAAAAGTACGTAGATTAATTTAAAATTGTACTTACATAACCTATACAATTGTATCTTTAAATTTTAACATTGGTGTAATTTATTTAGGGATGGATATGAATTGAATTAGTTTAAATTTTGTTTGATTTGAATTTAATTTAAGTATTTTATTTTTTTAAATATGTCACTCGATTCAATCTAGGTTTAAGGAGATAAAAAGGTTGATTGTGACATAAGGTCACTTGAAAGTATGGGAACACTTAAACTACTAAAGCAATCTAATTATTGATATATGATACAGTATATTGTATATTTTAAAATATAGTTAACGTAAGATTTAAAATAAAAATAAATTTAATATTTTTTGTATATTTATTTTTAAATTAGATTTATTGAATAAAATTGATAAAATATATAAATAATAAGAGTTAAATATGTAATTATATCAATTTTGTTAATTACCACATTAGCTCTTTTATTAAACGTTAACGACAAATAATTTTGATTGACATCATTTAAATAATTAAATAGTCTAATTGATTAAATTCAAAGATCGATCATCACATTAAACTCTTTTCATAATTAAGTGATTATAAAGGTAATTTATGTTATTATTTAAAAAGTTGCATTATCCATCGTTCAAGTCTTTTGTAAGAAATATTTTTAATCAGTTTTAATTAACTTATATGTACGAAAGTAATGCAAATTAATTTTAATTTTATTTTATTTTTAATTAACAGCTATTTTACTTACATGTAAAGTAAAAATATTAATATATAATCATATAAGATATATATGAATGTAAACAAACTAAAACATTTTTTAATGAAAAAGAAAAGCTAAAGTAATACATCAGTCTTTAAGATGCAAATAAGACGAGCTATGAACGTTTCTATGAACAATAGGATAAAAATCAATTAAAATCAAATTGTAAATAACTAGAAATCCATCATTTCTAAAAACGTATTTGGTCATGTAATCTAGAATATGAATTATAAACAAAGTGTTACTAAAATGTTTTTTTCTTACTTTTAATTAAATACTACATCATATGAACAAACTAAAATGTTTTTTTCTTACTTTTAATTAAATAACACATTATTTATAATATTTATAAACAAGATACTAAATACTAGTTAATTAAAAATTAAAAAAAATTAAAATTAAAACTATATTATGTTGTTTTTAATGAGATTTGAACAATATCTCGCGTTTACTAAAATATCTGTTCATATTTTTTACATGGAAATTAATTAAAAGTAATTAAAGTTATTATTTAATGGTAGGACTCGAATATAAGACCATAAAAAATTAAATAATTTTTATAATATATATACTATTTAAATTTTCACTTATTCATGATAAATGAAAAAGATTTTAACTGTTTAATCATTTGATCTCATATTGTTCTAAAGACTTAGTAATTTGATAATAAAAGCTCACCACATTTGTAATCTCTGATGCTCGAACCCGAGAGCTTCAGAGATAACAATCATCTCCTTAACCATTGAGTAGTTTGATTTGTGCAACTCAAACAATAAAATTAAACATTATCTAACCAACAGGACAACATAAATGAAATGAACCTTAACACACCAATATTAATACCAAAACTGTGTTTGATATAAAGTACTTTCGAGATATACGTTTGATGTAAAGAACTTTTTAATTATGTAAAATATTTGAGTGTTGCTTTTCGAGATATAATGGTGATGTTTTCATAAAAAGGCCCCTCGTACAAATTAGTAACTTGAGCTGGGTTTGTGCGCAAGATACCAAGTGCAGTTTTATTAGCAGTAAGTCGTATTGCACTTACGGTCGCCAATGATCAATCTGCTTTGATTGTTTGGCTGCTTACATTAATTGCTTTTGTCATCCCAAAGTCGAAACGAAACTAGTAGTTGGCCTTTGGCCACGTGAAATACCAACATCACCAACCAAAGCCAAAACCAAACTAGTAGCTTGGCCACGTGAAATTCCGATATCTTCACTTCTCCCAGCAATTTATTTGAAGTAAGATTAATACGCACTTGGAACGATAAAATAATTTCAACCTTCTCCTATAAGTTTTCTTTCCGAATGCCGTTAGCTAGAATTTTTTTAGACGAATGAATGTGGCACATGGGATTATGCGGTCATAGAGCATAAAACTATCTGCAATTTAGCAATTTAAGAGAGGATCGAAAGTTTGTCCAACCATTGAAAATTACATATATGATCTAGCCATACAACCTATCCTACTTTATTTGTTTAATGAACCATATAAATACGGTGGTGAATTATGCAATATAGGGGTGGGGGTTGGCGTGAATTTTGTTTTTTGTTTTATATAGTTGTTGGCACATTAAAGCTCTTCTATCAAGCTTTTGGTTTGCCTTTCCTTTTCTAGTACTTCCTTTTTATATGTAATTTGATTCTCAATAACTTGATTATATTAAAATTTTGTCATGAACTTATAGCCTGCAAATTTGATTAAATTACTGTTGTCACTGTTTAGTTTTAGCAAGAATAAATTATATTATTGACATCTTTCAAAGAACTGTTTCTTTGATGTAAGGTTTTCAAATAATAGTTTTTATAAATTTATTGAGTTGTTTTAGTCACGTTATTCTTTCTAAAGAAATAAATGTGTTTGTAAAATACATGCGGGGACATTATTAATTGGCTATATATATTTATTGTGGAATAAGTCATGCTCGTGTTAGTATTCAATTAGAAAGAGATAATAAACCCCAACACTAACTACCCAACAAACAGAAAATGGAAGACCAAGAACAAACAATCTAAAAAGTAATGGAAACTTTTAAAACTATGGCTAAAAGAAAGAGTAATCTGGTTTATGCATTAAAACACACACACACAACCGATGACTGACCAAAGCCATCGCCGTCTCCTTGATATTGAAGAACTCGTACAAGCGACCGGGTAAAAGGAGGCAAGAGGAAAATGTTGTGAGAAAAAGACTTACATTTTGAAGTTTTATTGAAAATATTTATGGTGCATAAAACTACTAATGTATTGATATTCAAATCTCTCCTTCATTTGGGCAACACAAATACCTCCTCCAGTTGTTTTGCTCTTCCAAATTATAAGTCAATCTGATGACATTATCTTTTCAATTTTTTTAACCAATAAATATTCAAAAATCATATATATATATATATATATATAATTTATTTTATTACCTATAATTATTTAATTTATTAAACTAATTTTCTGAATCCGTGAAATCTTTATTGAAGTTTTTAGAAGCCTGGAAACCCTGCCCTTAAATAAGCATATTAGTATTTTCTTTGCTAACAATGGCCTTTTAAATAAGGCCTGTCAAAGAAACCAGGGGGCAAAAGCCCAACTTATTTTCATAAATTATATGAAACACACGCTAGAGAATCATTCTTTTTTATTTTTATAAATGGATTGAGAAATTATCAAGTATAGTAGTAATTATCATTATTAATAGAATAAAAATTAAATTAATAATACATAAATTTTTAATCTTTTTTGTAGAATTAAATTTCTCTCTATCACCCGCACGTGGTGTAATATTCTTTTATTCTCACAAGAATGAATGGTGAGGATAAATTATATAGTTGGTCATTCAATTATAATTTCTTTTTCTTTTGGTTATTAAAATAAAATAAACATGATAGATCAGAAAAGAATGCTAAAAAAGCATACATAGGAGTTGAGAGTAGTGGTGTAGTAGTTTGGTGAAGTTTTGTGACATGGGTTTGAATCTTAGGTCCTCTAATACGAACTTCGAGTAATATAATCTAAGTTTAGGGTTTTTTTGGTGGCTAAAATGAAAATTTTGACTTTAGGAATATTGGGGGTGGATTATTTTATAACTCTAGAATTTTGAAGAAATGCTTGCTAATGTCTTTTCCAAGTCGAGTAGCCGACGATGGAATGGAAGATCCGAAAGGAGGATACTTTTCTAAGTTATACCCTTTTATCGTTTTATTTTTAAAGCATGGGTATTAAGATTCAATTGTGGTATATGATTAAAAAAAACAAACACCAATAATGGAAACTTTGACTGCATGCTGAGTTTGAAGACTATAAATCACGAGATATATCCAAGTTGCAGATGAACATACTCAATTACAGTCATCAATACTTAATACTATTTCGATGAAGAAGAAGAGAGTTGCCTTGTTTGCTTCCTTGCTCCTGTTTCTTACGTTGCATGCTTGTTTCTCCGATGTTCAGTCTAATTCTACTGCAGAAGCACTGGCGCTCCTCAACTGGAAAGCCAGCCTTCATTCCCTCACAAACCCTTCTGTTTTGCCTTCATGGACGGTCTCTTCCGGAAGTGAATTAGCAAATCCATGCCGTTGGTTTGGAATCCATTGCAAGGGCCACAGCGTTTTCAGAATCAATCTTACGAGCTATGGTGTAGTAGGCGACTTCCGTGCATTTCCCTTCTCGTCATTGCCTAATCTTGAAGAGTTAGACCTTAGCATCAATGGATTTTTCCGCGCAATCCGCCTCAAATCAATCAACTCTCTAAACTCACCTACCTTGATTTGTCATACAATGATCTGTCTGGTGAAATCCCTCATCAAATTGGTCAGCTCATTCATCTCAAGATTCTTCATCTTGTTCAAAACCAGTTTAATGGCTCCATTCCTGAAGAAATAAGTCAGCTAGAGTCCCTCCAAGGGCTTGCCTTGCAAAATAATTATCTAAATGGTCCCATCCCTTCTTCTTTGGTCAATCTGACCAACCTGTCCTACTTGTATATGTCAAATAATTCCCTTACTGGTAACATTCCTTCGGAAATGGAAACCTTAGCAGCTTGCAGGAACTTTATATTGACACCAACCAAGTCACAGGTCCCATCCCTTCCGGTCGCTCTACTCTACTCTATCTCCGGGCATATGAAACGATGACTGATTTTAGTAATTTATAGAAACAATCTATCTGGTTTCATCCCGGGTTCACTTGGGAACTTAACAAGTCTGATCATTCTCCAACTTTATGAAAGTAAACTTTTTGGCCACATTCCTCAAGAGTTAGGAAACTTGCAGTCATTGGTTTTCCTAGAGTTGAGTCAAACCAACTCAATGGTTCTGTCCCATCTTCACTTGCTAATTTGAGCAACTTGCAAACTTTGTTCCTCCGAGAAAACCGGCTTTCCGGTCCCATACCACGAGAAATAGGGAACTTCATGAATATGTGGATGTTGGAACTCGATACAAACCGATTCAGCGGGGAGCTGCCACAAAATGTTTGCAGAGGTGGAGCACTGGAAAATTTCACAGCCAATGACAATCATTTCAGGGGTCCAATACCCAAAGACTTGAAAAATTGCAGCAGCCTTAAAAGATTGCGCCTTGAAAGAAACAGGCTGACCGGAAATATATTAGAAGATTTTGGAGTGTATCGTAACTTGGACTTCATAGGCCTTAGTGACAATCACTTTTTATGGTGAAATTTCACCTAAGTGGGCATTGTGCAATAATTTAAGCGCCTTATTGATTGCTGGGAACAACATCACTGGCAGAATACCACCTGAGCTTGGAGACTTAGTTCAGCTTCAAGCACTAGATCTTTCTTCAAATCATTTAGTTGGGGAGATTCCAAAGGAGCTGACAAAACTGACTTCTTTGTCAAGGCTTATTTGTCTGGAAATCAACTCTCTGGTGGTATACCACTGGAAGTTGGATCTTTCTCCAAACTCGAGTACCTCGATTTGTCAGGAAACAGATTGAGTCAGTCCATCCCTGAGACAATAGGGGTTATGTTGAAACTGTACTACTTGAATTTGAGTAGTAACAATTTCAGCCAGAGAATTCCAACTCAACTAGGCGAGTTAACTCAATTGAATGATTTAGATCTGAGTCATAACAGGCTTTCAGTGGATATTCCAACACAATTCCAATCTTTGCAGAGTTTGTCAAGGTTGAATCTCTCTTATAATAACCTCTCTGGTAGCATCACTATTTTTTATGAGCTCCGAGGCTTGGTCTATGCTGGCGTAGCTCATAATAAATTGCAGGGTCCAGTTCCTGATGTTCCCGCATTTCAAAATGCTTCAATACAAGCATTAGAAGGAAACGAGGGCTTGTGTGGCAATATTAGTGCGTTGAAACCTTGCAATCTTTCCAGAAAAGGGCACCGCAAGTTACTCTACGCAATCATTGTTCCGCTGTTAGGAGCTGCTATCCTTTCAATTGTCTTTCTGGCTTTGTTTTTTGGCTTCAAAAGACGGAGAAATGATGCGGTAGTAGTAAGGAAAGCGGCATGAATAATGCAAATATCTTTGCAATATCATCCTTTGATGGAAAAATGTTGTATTCTGAGATAAAAGATGCAACCAGAAACTTTAGTTCTCAGTGTTGCATCGGACAGGGAGGATACGAAAATGTATACCGAGTAGAGCTGTCATCAGGTGACATTGTAGCTGTGAAGAAAGCCCATGCACTGCATTCTGATGAAGTTAGAACTGCAAAAGAATTCCAAAATGAAGTAATGGCGCTCATTGACATTCGGCATCAATCAAAATATAGTGAAATTTTACGGGTTTTGTTGGTCTCATGGGCACTCATTCTTGGTTTACAAATACCTTGAAAAGGGTAGTTTGGCTGTCAATCTAAGCAATGAACAAGCAGCAAAAGAGTTGGATTGAGATAAAAGGGTGAATATAATAAAAGGGGTTGCTCATGCCTTGTCTTACTTGCACCATGATTGCTCACCATCGATTGTTCATCGGGACCTTTCCAGCCACAATATTTTGCTCAACTTGGAATTCGATGCTCACATTTCGGATTTTGGCACAGCTAAACTTCTCAATCCAGACTCATCTAATTGGACCGATCTTGTTGGAACGTACGGATATGTCGCACCAGGTCTTTTAGTTCACAGAAATCTTGTGGCATGAAAGGTAGATCATCATTATACAATTGATTATAATCTTTTTTTTTCTCTTCCTTTTGCAGAGCTTGCTTACACAATGAAGGTTACAGAAAAATGTTACGTTTATAGTTTCGGATTATTGATTATTAAAGTTATCATGGGATCATATCCTGGTGATTTGATATCCACGCTACCATCTTCATCTCTTGAAATATGGCTTCTGTTGAACGATGTTTTGGATCGAAGGACTTTACCTCCACCACCAGACGTTCAGGACCAACTGATATCCGTGATGAAGATAGCTTTTATGTGCTTGGCAGACAATCCACATTTTAGACCAACAATGTACTCTGTTTCTCAGCTGCTAGCCGATTGAAGCTGTTGAAAATTGAAGCAAAGCACCGAAAGTTTGGAATAAATAATTCCACCGAATGCACATGGTCAAAGTGGTAGGTTTTTTTGTTGAAAAAATGAAAGGGTAAAATTACAAACTTTAGTCATTGTAAATTAGGTTATTTACAAATTAGTCCTTAAGTTTCAACTATAAATACCCGAGCTCATTTAGCTTCAAAACCATCCCAAAGCATTCTAGCTTTCTTCCAATACTAGAGAGAATTTAGAAAGTTTCTTGAGAGTTGTTTTCTCCTTTTTATCAAGAGAGAATTATCATTGTTTTCTCCTTGGTAGATCGAGAGAGGTTGTAATTCCTATTTTCTTATAGTGAAATTCTTCTACCGTTGCCCGTGATTTTTACCCTATTTTATTTAGGGGTTTTCCACGTAAATTTTGTGTCTTCTTTATCTTCATTTTTTTTCTCAAATTATCAGTTGCATTTTTGCTCTATCCGATAGCCGTCTTCCGTAACAATTGGTATCAGAGCCAGATTAGAGTGTGTAATATCTGCTTATTGTCTTTGTGGTTGTCACCAAAAAGGTGGATCCTCCAACATAAGAAAGTAAGAAGTTATTACCCATTCTTTGAAGGTTCCAGAGAACTATTCACGATAATGAAATAGTGAGAGCTATCCGTAAACGAAGCAATGGTAACGAAATTTGATATTGAAAAGTTCAATGGGAGAAATTTCTCATTGTGGAAATTGAAGATGAAGGTCATCATGAGGAAAGACGGTTGTCTAGCAGCTATCAGCGAAAGGCCAGTAGGTTTCACAGACGACAATAAATGGATCGAAATGGACGGAAATGCTATGGCAAACTTTCATCTAGCATTAGCAGATGAAGTATTGTCAAGTATCGAGAAGAAGAAGACAGCTAAGGAGATATGTGATCATCTCACCAAACTGTACGAGGCCACATCGTTGCACAATAAAATTTTCCTTAAGAGAAAATTGTACACTCTCTGTATGCCAGAATCTACTTCAGTGACGGAGCACTTAAATACATTGAACACTTTATTTTCTCAGCTTACATCCTTAAGCTGTAAAATAGGAGAACAAGAACGTGATGAACTTCTACTTCAAAGTCTACCGGATTCGTATGATCAACTCATCATCAACTTGACAAACAGTAATGTCACCAGTCTAGTCTTCGATGACGTTGCAGCTACTATTCTACAAGAAGAAAATCGGTGCAAGAACAAGGAAGACAGACAAGTAAATCTGCAACAAGCAGAAGCATTGACAACGATGAGAGGGAGATCAACAGAACGTGGCCAAAGCAGCAGTCACAAACATGGTAGATCGAAGTCGAGAAGCAAGAAGAATTTAAAGTGTTACAACTGTGGAAAGAATGGTCACTTGAAGAAGGATTGTTGGAGTCTAAATAAAAACTCCAATCCACAAGCCAATACCGCAAACACTTCAGATGATGGAGATGCTTTATGCTGTGAAGCGTCAACCACCGTGGAAGGAAGAAAATGATTTGCAGATATATGGCTCATTGATTCGAGAGCAACATATCACATGACCTCAAGAAGAGAATGATTTCATCATTATGAACTTGTCTTAGGAGGATCTGTGTATAGTTGCAATGATCATGCCTTAGAGATCGTTGGCGTGGGAACCATCAAATTGAAGATGTATGATGGAACAATTAAAGTTGTTCGAGATGTACGGCACGTGAAATGCCTGAAGAAAAATTTATTATCCTACGGATTGTTGGATAATAATACAAGCAAGATTGAAATACGGAAAGGAATCATGAAGGTGTTCCGTGGAGCGCTTATGGTGTTGAAAGGTGAAAAGATAACAGCAAACTTGTACATGTTGAAGGGAGAAACTTTGCTAGAAGCAGAAGCCTCTGTTGCCTCATGTAGTTCAGATTATACAATACTATGGCATCAGAAACTTGGACACATGTCAGAACAAGGAATGAAAGTCCTTGTGGAGCAAAAGCTACTTCCAGGCTTAACAAAGGTATCACTTCATTTGTGTGAGCATTGCATAACAAGTAAGCAGCACCGGTTGAAATTCAACACATCAAATTCTAGAGGAAAAAGTGTTCTAGAATTGGTTCACTCTGATGTATGGCACGCACCGGTTACATCCCTTGGCGGAGCAAAATACTTTGTCTCATTTATTGATGACTACTCTAGGAGATGCTGGGTGTACCTTATTAAGAAGAAGTCAGATGTGTTTTCAACTTTCAAAACTTCAAAGCGTGGGTGGAACTTGATTCTGGAAATAAGATCAAGTGTTTCAGAACAGATAATAGAGGAGAATACACAACGAAGAATTTGATGACTTTTGCAGGAAAAAGGCATCAAAAGACAGTTAACAGTGGCGAACACTCCTCAACAAAATGGAGTGGCAGAGCGGATGAATAAAACCTTGTTAGAAAGAACAAGAGCAATGTTGAGGGATGCAGGCCTAGAAAATCATTCTGGGCAGAAGCAGTCAATACCGCCTGTTATTTGGTGAATTGCTGCAATAGAGCTGAAGACACCAATGGAGATGTGGACTGGAAAACCAGTTGATTATTCAAACCTCCATGTATTTGGAAGTATAGTGTACGTGATGTACAACTCCCAAGAAATTTCAAAGCTGGATCCAAAATCCAGGAAATGCAAATTCTTGGGGTATGCTGATGGAGTAAAGGGGTATCGCTTGTGGGATCCCACTTCCCGTAAAGTGATCATCAGCAAGGATGTTATCTTTGTAGAAGATAAGCTACAAAGAAAAGAAGATGATGATAGCGCTAAAAAGTCAGAGACTACACAGATACATGTGGAAAATGAGGTTGAACAAGGAGATTATTCTGAAGCAGAACCAGCACAAGATGAACAAGAACCAGAGAATTCTGAAGCTCCAACAACTCGTCAATCAGATCGTGTGAGAAGACGTACCAATTAGCACTCATATTATGTTATAAGGTAATATTGCATACTGTCTTTTAACAGAGGACGGTGAGCCATCAACATACCAGGAGGCAATAAACAACTCAGATGCTTCACTGTGGATGATGGCAATGCAAGAAGAAATCGAAGCCCTTCATAAAAATAATACATGGGACCTTGTGCCACTACCACAAGGAAGGAAGTCAATTGGTAACAAATGGGTTTTCAAAATCAAGCGAAATGGTGACAATCAAGTTGAGAGGTATCGTGCAAGACTGGTGGTCAAAGGATATGCTCAAAAAGAAGGTATTGATTTCAATGAAATATTTTCTCCTGTGGTTCGACTAACAACAGTTCGAGTATTTTTGGCAATATGTGTTACATTAGACTTACATTTAGAGCAGCTAGATGTTAAAACAGCTTTTCTTCATGGAAATCTTGAAGAAGAAATTTATATGCTCCAGCCTGAAGGTTTTGAAGAAAAAGAAAAGAAGAACTTGGTTTGCAGGTTGAACAAATCTCTGTACGGTCTAAAGCAGGCACCGAGGTGTTGGTATAAGAGATTTGATTCCTTCATTATGTGCATTGGATACAACAAACTTAGTGCTGACCCTTGTGCTTATTTCAAGAGGTCGGGTGATAACGATTTTGTTATATTGTTGTTGTATGTGGATGACATGTTGGTTGCAGGACCCAACAAAGATCATATTGAAGAATTGAAGGCACAACTGGCTAGGGAATTTGAAATGAAGGACTTGGGATCGGCAAACAAGATTCTAGGGATGCAAATTCACCGAGACAGAAGTAATAGGAAGATTTGGCTTTCACAAAAGAATTATTTGAAGAAGATCTTGTCACGATTCAGCATGCAAGATTGTAAGCCAATTTCTACCCCTCTTCCTATTAGCTTCAAATTATCCTCCAGTATGAGTCCTAACAGTGAAGAAGAGAGGATGGAGATGTCTCGAGTGTCGTATGCATCGCACAAGCAGTGGGAGTGGTTAGTCGATATATGGCGAATCCAGGCAAAGAGCATTGGAATACAATAAAGAGGATCCTGAGATATATCAAAGGGACCTCAAATATTGCATTATATTACGGAGGATAAAACTTATTAATCAATAGGTATGTAGATTCTGACTATGCAGGGGATTTGGATAAAATCAAATCTACTACAGGATATGTGTTCAAAGTTGCTGGTGGAGCTGTAAGCTGAGTTTCAAAATTGTAGTCAGTTGTGGCTACATCCACAACAAAAGCAGAATATGTAGCTGCTACACAAGCCAATAAAGAAGCAATTTGGTTGAAGATGCTATTGGAGGAGCTTGGGCACAATCAAGAGTATGTCTCTCTATTTTGTGACAGTCAAAATGCCTTGCATCTAGCAAGGAATCCAACATTTCATTCAAGAACAAAGCACATATGAGTTCAATATCATTTCATTCGTGAAAAGGTGGAAGAAGGAACGGTAGATATGCAGAAAATCCATACCAAAGGCAACATAGCAGATTTCATGACGAAGGCGATCAATACCGATAAATTTACTTGGTGTCGATCCTCCTGTGGCATGTTAGAAACGTAAGCAACATGATGGTACAAGGTAGAAAGAATAGTGTAAAGATATGATTGTTCCAATCAAATCTTCAAGTGGGAGATTGTTGAAAATTGAAGCAAAGCACCGAAAGTTTGGAATAAATAATTCCACCGAATGCACATGGTCAAAGTGGTAGGTTTTTTGTTGAAAAAATGAAAGGGTAAAATTACAAACTTTAGTCATTGTAAATTAGGGTATTTATAAATTAGTCCTTAAGTTTCAACTATAAATACTCGAGCTCATTTAGCTTCAAAATCATCCTAAAGCATTCTAGCTTTCTTCCAATACTAGAGAGAATTTAGAGAGTTTCTTGAGAGTTGTTTTCTCCTTTTTATCAAGAGAGAATTATCATTGTTTTCTCTTTGGTATATCGAGAGAGGTTGTAATTCCTATTTTCTTATAGTGAAATTCTTCTACCGTTGCCCGTGGTTTTTACCCTATTTTATTTAGGGGTTTTTCACGTAAATTTTGTATCTTCTTTATCTTTATTTTTATTTTCTTAAATTATCAGTTGCATTTTTGCTCTATCGGATAGTCGTATTCCGCAACAGAAGCAATTCCTCCCAAGGGTCTTAGATTGAATTGCAGACCACCATATACGCTGTTTCTAAGCTGAATATTTTAATGTTGTGTCATTCCTTATATACAAGTAGATTAGCAAGAATAACTTGCCCAGGTTTTCATGTACTCATGTTTCTAGGTTTCACTTTCTGACAAGTGTAACACATGTTTGCATTTGTTATACAGCTTTCTATTGGTGAGACCATTCACTACTTTACGACTAATCTTTAATGAAAATGTACACTAGACAGATCAGGAAAATATTGTTAGGTGTTAGGGTTGGAATTCAAAAAAAATCATTTCCTAAAATTAATTGCGTAAATCAAGTAGATTGAATGTTAATCGGATTACGTAAAGCACTGTGACCTGAACCCATTATATATATGTAAGCATTTGAGTGTGAATCCATAAAGCAGTAACAATGCTTAAAACAACAATAGTGATTAAAGGGGAAGCCAAAAGGCTCTGCCTTTCCAAAAGATTAATAACACTACTGCCTGAATTATTAGTATTGTAATCATTCATTCCCTTTGAAGAAACAGAGTGAGTAGCAGCCACATCATCTTAATCTTACCCCCAAAAATATCAACAAGCATTGTCATTGAGATTCACGTGGGTCCAAATTATTGGTCAGGTTTGACCCCGATGACCTACACTGACAGTGACGGGTAGCAACGTGATAAGCTTCGTCGACGTGGGAAAAGTGGAATTTTACTTGAGACGCCGCATATGCCGACAGACACATCTTCCTTAAAACCCGCTACGCTGTCCTTAAATTGATATCACCTTCTTGCTTTCGTTTCTCAACAGATTCAACAAGTAGAGGAAGAAAACAAACAATGGCGACTCTTACAGTTCCCTCGGCTATTCCTTCAGTGTCTGAAGACTGTGAGCAACTAAGAAAAGCCTTTTCAGGTCTCTCCTCTTTTAGCTTATTCTATCTCCCCTTTTTTATCGTATGTTTAATCTTACTATGTTTGATCTGATCATCTCAATACAATATATACTAGGATCTATCATGATTGACCCTTTTCTGAATTTATTCTGTTTCGGTGGGGGTGATCTCGCTTTAACCTGCCGAGATCTATGTAGATTGTGTTGAAATACTGATAAATATGGCGATCATCCAATGATGAGGCCCGATCTCGGTTAAGCAAGTTGCTTGATTTATGATCTGCCCGATACTGGCTTAGTTGTTTGATGATCTGATTATATGTTTTCTTGGGTTTCTGATCAGTTTGATGATCTGGTGGTATGATTTTTTCGTCTTTTAAACTATGCATCCGACCATAAATTTGTTCTGGTGCTTAGATAAAAATAAAAAATAAAAGACTTTGAACTGACCTAGGTTTGATCTCTAAGTTTTTAGGTGTCAGTCCATCATGTAGTTTCTCTAGACATCAATGTATGGTTTGATTGCAGGATGGGGAACCAACGAGGACTTGATCATAGATATATTGGGTCACAGAAATGCCGAGCAACGGAATTTGATCCGAAAATTTTATGCTGAAACCTATGGAGAAGATCTCCTCAAATCACTGGACAAGGAACTCACAAGTGACTTTGAGGTAAGTCTGCAAAAGCAGTTGCTTTTTTTCAGTGGTAGGCAATATTCTACGCATGCTTATCTTATATAACGGAAGTGGTGGCTTTCTGAGTTCTTATCTAACAGAGGCTGGTTACGCTTTGGACTCTTGATCCCGCTGAACGCGATGCACACTTGGCTAATGAAGCCACCAAGAGGTGGACTTCCAGCAATCAGGTCCTTATGGAAATAGCCTGCACAAGGTCTGCCAACCAACTCCTTCACGCAAGGCAGGCTTATCATGCTCGATATAAGAAATCGCTTGAAGAGGATGTTGCTCATCACATCTGGTGATTTCCGTAAGGTATATTAGATGGACGCTTAAGTTCTGTCAAAACATAACGAAGCCTTGTTTATTATGTTAGTGGATCAATGAAGTTTTTATTGCTTGTTCTTTGTTGTGAATGGCTCTGCTTATGTAAGCGTCTTTACTCCTTTCAGCTTCTCGTACCTCTTGTGAGTGCATACAGATATGAGGGGGATGAAGTGAACATGAGTTTGGCAAAAACTGAGGCCAAGTTTCTCCATGAGAAAATTTCAGAGAAAGCTTACAGTGATGACGATGTCGTCAGAGTTTTGGGGACGAGAAGCAAGGCCCAGATCAATGCAACCTTGAACTACTACAAAAATGCACACGGAAAAGATATAATTGAGGTATACCAAATTTGATTGTTTGTGGGTGTTCTTTCAGAGCCCCTCATCTTTTTGTACGTATGGTATTTCAAGATATTTTTGCACATGTTATATTCCCCCTGATAGGCTTTCCTTGGTCTTTGACTCACCTATTTACAGGACTTGGAGGATGATCCTAAGGATGATTTCCTTGCACTACTAAGGTCCACAGTGAAGTGCCTTGTCTACCCAGAAAAGTATTTTGAAGAGGTTCTTCGTTCAGCAATTAACAAACGAGGAACAGATGAAGGTGCTCTTACAAGAGTTGTTTCCACAAGGGCTGAGTTCGACTTAAAGATAATAGCAGATGAGTACCAGCGAAGGAACAGTGTCCCGCTGACTCGTGCCATTACCAAGGACACTCGTGGAGACTATGAAAAAATGCTTCTGGTACTTGCAGGACATGATGAGGCTTGAATCTGATATCAGGATATAATTCTGTTGAATAAAAGAGTTGTGATGATCAAACTCTTGTGGTTTAGTGGTGGCTGTATTTCATCTTTCTTTGTGCTACTGTGAGTTTTATGCTATTTGAGATTCTAAGTCTACCTAAAAATGATGTTCGAGTATGTTTTGCAGTTAATAAAAGATTCACTTTCATGGTTGTTGATCCTTTCAAATATCAAGCAGAAGCTGGTATTTAGAAAATAAAATTCCTGGATCTTGTGATTTATAGATGCATGAGATTGCCAATTAACTCTTGATGAGTACTAAATTGTCATTTGATTTTTTTTCCTCCGGGAGTACTTACCATTAAGCAATATTGTAACCATAAAGAAACTAATTTATCTCCATATTCAAAATGAAGAAACTGTGAAACCTAAAATGACATTCAGACATCAGATTTGCAATAAGCATGAAGTCGTAAGTTCGGATCGACAAAAGACAACACGATAACAGAATAATACAAGTTTAAACTACATAGTGAACAACTAGAAGCAAGATTTTCCTCTGCGTCCTTTGGATTCTTGAAGGTAATTTCACTGATCTGAAGCTGTAAAGCCTTCCACCACAACCAGCAGGCACCAGAGTTCACCTACATTCTATGTTTCAAGAAACCCAAGGACATGACTACTTGTAGTGAACAGCTAGCAACTTCGTAAGCACAACACCATCGGCAAGGTAACTCCGTCACTTTTTCAGGAGGTTACGGGAGAATATTCTCTTGCAATATGGGCTGGTTCGCAAGATTATGTGAGGTCGGACAGCTCCAACTAGAGAATCATGAAGAGGGCCCTGCTCAAGGTAAAATGTTTTGTGATGAAAATCATGAATCCTCAGACTAAAGCTACTTATACAAGAGATGAAAGGAGCCACTCAAGAGATCTCATTGAAATTTTATCAAATAAATAAAGCATGGAAACTACTCAAGTACTTGTACCTTGGTTACAGCTAAAGCAGATTGAATGACATAGTTGGCAAAAGGGTCTTGCAATAGTTGTTCAAAGTGCACATCAGAGATTAACTCACGGATGATTAGCGACCGGCTTTCTGCAAAATGCTTGAGGCATTTTTCAACCACATGACTGCAAATTTCTGCATTGAGAGGTGAACATAGTGCCCTTTGAATTGAGAAAGTAAGCGGTTGGCAACAGCAGGGGCGACCTTTAGCTCTATAATGTACTGAACAACATAATTTCTGTTTCATAAACAATTGAATAATATGAATCTGAGAGGAACAAAAGAATTAAAAATCCATGATAAAAAAGCTGGTTCTTTTCGGGGGAGGAAGGAATTACTTGAGAAAAGAAGTAACTATTTCTGATGTAGCTAACTTTGTTGAAAGGTTTTTTGCCCTTTTAGGTACCTCATATGCACTTTAGATTAAATAAGACAAACAAAATCATGAAGAACTAATTATTGATAATGCAAAATCTGCAAGATATCAGAGCTTAATTCGTCATATTTATTCTTAATACCAAGTGAGTACACCCATGCTCATTTGACTTAAAAGGAACAAACATCTATGAGACTCAGTCTCAGATACTTGATCAGTAGGTCATAAAATCCTAATGGATTGTGTCGACATGCATGAATTTTTTACATTAAATAAGGGTTTAAATACTAGTTTTGATGAACTCATAAACATGAAGAAAAAAAATCGTTTAACTACATAAAGCAACTGACTTTAGTGATTCATATATTTCATTAGCATCAAAAACATAAATACATAGAATGGATTGCTTTCTTTAAGCTTGATCCAAGTTTACTCATTGAGCATTACTGAAGCAAATTTATAAGCTAAGATCAAGACCAGAATAAGAATTGTAATTGTCAGAAAACTCAGATGAAAGAAACAAACAAGAAATACTTAGCTTATTACCCAAAAGGATCTTGAGCAAGAAGAAGTCCATTTCGGGAAATTTGAGTAATTAGGTTTTCTCGATGTTGCCCATTAGAATGAGAAATGCAGCGTTGCAACACACAGCATCCATGACGATGTGTAGCAATATCTACGCAAAAGTGCGCAGCAGCATCAAAAATAACCTGCATGGTAATTACCAGAAACAAGGACCAAAAAAGTTTCAGAATCAAACTTGACAAAAAAATACATTCATATGAAAATGCCTACCAAATACAGTTTAAACAATAAGCATACTTCTGGAAGAAGTACAGGTAGTTTATAAGAAGACACAGAATGTGACAATCATGACTGGACAGAATTCTAGTCTGTAGTTCATTACCATGCCTATCATGAAAAATTTCAAGCCAAAAAGGATTCTCCAATGGACAAAAAACTCCTCAAGAATTGTGTTGGTTTAGTTATTATCTACCTCACACCAGTAATAGCTTGTTATAGGTTAGTTCCTCCCATGGAAAGAATGTTCATACTAATAAATGTTCAGAAAGAAAAGATTCCTTCAAACTGGATCCTTGCATTTGCGTCAGTTGGTTCTCAAGCAGTGGTATAATATGCAATACCTGTAATTAAGCCAGTACCAGGAAGAGATGTGTCTGCCTGTTTACGAGGCACACTTACCAAACATGAGTCAAACTATATAAAGGTGTCTCATAACATACACACAAAAGGTACCCTGCACTGACCAAGAGGAGAAACACATACACACAAATATGGCATTGCCTCAAACCAGATCATGCAACCAAGCATAGGTAATAATAGGCCATAGGATAAAAAGCACCGAGACTTTATTTATAAAACTTGAGCACCCATGTCAAGATGCAATGAAAACAAGGTATATTAGTCCAAATAATTAACCAGAGATGAACCATTTAGTGGATCGACACAATGAAATGAGACTGTTGTTGATAACAAAAGCTAATGGTCAATGTAACCTTATATGTAAAAATAGAAGAATGGCATTGGTTAGGATCATTTGTGAGCACAAGTACTGAACCTCAGAAGTTAATTCACCCTCATTATTTTACCTTATTATCTTCGTTGTCAAGGCATTGCAAGCAGCGCTGCAAAACATGATTTCCATTGAGATCCTTGATAAGGTCAAGAATTCCAGGTTTAAGAGCAGATATAATTCGAGAAATCTGTTGTCTGTATTTGAGAGTCTCAATCAACTTCTGTACTACACGAGTACTGAAATATAGAAGTATATTAGATTAGCAACAACTGTATGTGTAGAGAATGAAGAATTAATGATAATGAAGCAGTTACCCATATGTGTTCAAGGAAATCCTCACAAGCTGCCCTGCTTCTTTTGTCACCATGAGAACAATCTGCAGTCTTTGTTCTTCAGTACACATCCAGCAACTTTTGCACAAGGTAATTGCCAAAGGGATCCATCATAAGCTCAACAATATTATCAATAATTTCATTGAATATTATCTGAACATCTAAATAGCTTCCTTCATCAAAAATCCTTTGTAAGAAGCGACTATCATTCTGGTCCTTAGCCATATAATTAATACATCCTCGAAACTCAACTAAGGAATAAGGACTTGGCGTTAGTCTGACCTTTTCTCCATGATTTCTGTCAAATCTAGAGTTTTTCTCTCTAAGGTTTTGCATTGCAATCCCTTTGGGAGGTTTTTCTTATGACACTTCAATGTATCATGGCCCAAGTTGTCAAAACCATATTTCAAATCTCTTTCTTGAATGATGACACTATGATCCTCCACAAGAGGAACCTTGCTGTGCAAGGACCTAGGAGAGCTCAAAGAATTAATGACTCCTCTACCTCCATTACCATCCATTCCACACTGCTGCGAGCAGAGCTCAAAAGGATTTTCGAGGTAGGGCCTAGCACTAAAGGCATTCTGTAATAGAATTCCCCCATTGTCAAAACTCCTGCACTGTTCCATTCCCTGGTCCAAATATAGTGTCTATGAGTATTGTACCAACTCGATTTCGAAACCAAATCATTTGACTGATTGTAACCAAATCATAAGACCCCAATGAATCACCCTTTTCGTTTCACCATGCAAACCAAGCAATGTGGACCTCATCACATCATTACCATCAAAACACTTGAATGAATCATGGCCCGAGTTGTCAACACCATGCTTCAAATCTCTTCCTTGAATGATGACACTATGATTCTCCAGAAGAGGAACCTTACTGTGCAAGAATCTAGGAGAGCTCAAAGAATTAATGACACCTCTACCTCCATTACCATCCGTCCACAATGCTGTGAGCGGACAAAAGGACTATCAAGGTAGGGCTTAGCAAAAGGCATTCTGTAATAGGATTCCCCATTGTCGAAACTCCTGCCCTGTTCCATTCTCTGGTTATTGTGCCAACTCGATTTCGAGACCAAATCATTAGACTGATTGTAACCAATACCATAAGACCACAATGAATCACCCTTTTCGTTTCCACCATGGAAACCAGGGAATGTGGACCTCATGGCATCATTACCATCAAAACACAGAAACTTGCTGTGGCAAAGATTGAAACCCTTCATTAAACCCTTCATATGAAATATTTTCCACCATGCAAACCAGGGAATGTGGACCTCATGACATCATTACCATCAAAACACACAGAAATTTGCTGTGGCGAAGATTGAAACCCTTCGTTAAACCCTTCATATGAACTATATTTTCCAGCGTTATAAGAAGATACATCACCAAAAACTAAGGCCCAAACCATCTGGATCGCACTCGGATCTCCTCCTTTCAGCAGAATCATCCCCGTCGATTCTTCATCTCCAATATGCATTTGGCATAGATTCTCACACAAATCAAAACCATCATCGACCCAATTTTTTCATTTGCGTTCTTATTTCTGAAATGAAGAACAGGCAATGACGTAGGATCCAACCAGAGTCCATGATGATGAATATCGGGTTGTCGTTGTTGTTGTCGGTCTTCAAATGGTGAACTCTTCTCAGGTGAAGGAAACTCGTTAGAGAAGGAACTTGAGGGAGAAGGGAAAGTCGAGTTATTGGTGAACGGTGTTGACGACTGAGAAATGGAGGAGTTTGAGGGTTCTCTCTCGATAAAGTTTCAAGCTCACTATTTCTCTTCATGTCCCTTATCAACATCATCTTCTCCTTCTCACCCACTTTAAACATCTTCCCGGAAACCCAAAAACAAAAAAGAAAAACAACAAACAAACTAAATATATGCAAAGAGCATACGTTTACACGAAAACAGAGAATCAAAGTTTAAAAAAACCCAAATATAAAT